CGCTGTTCGCAGAGTTCCGTTACCCGCAGCAATTAAGAGCCCAGATTTAAAGTAAACTTGCGAAGTGCGCCATTGGGTTATTGCGTCCCCGAGACGCCGTGCAGCACTCGCCATCAATGTAGCTAATATATTAATTGTATTTTGCTAATTACCGATTTGGTTGCACAGACGCACCAATTAACGGGATGATATGCTCTGAGAGAGACGTTATCTTTACGATCTATGAAATGGCCAGGTATGCTCCGATATTTACGTGTCTAGAGATGACATCGGCTATTGGGAAACTCACGTAAACTGTCATACTTTGGTATATTTGATGGTAGATTTTCCCAAAACGCTTGCAACAGAGCCAAGTTTTAGTCACTTTATTTGTCTACGCATATTCAACCCGATGTATAGTATATAGTATAAAGTGTATACACTGTACTATATTATATACATATATGCTATATACACAGTGTAAACACTGTATAAGTATTATTTTATGTATACATAATATAATATATTGAAGTAAAAGAAACCCCGCGTATATTCGGTAACTAGCTTCGCCATGTGGTAACTGGATGTAGTGAATGAGTTTGGTATTGTTGCTAAATTATATAGTCCTCTTGCGACTTTTAGACGATTCACGGATTATCGATTGTAGAAATATTTCGATTTTTATGTGCGAGATATTTGAGAATATATCATAGGTCCTGTGAAAAATTCATGAAAAAAATAAAATAGCAGAATATTTGTGTGCTAAATATTAGACAATATAAATTTCAACGGTGTTGTGCCGAAATAGCCATAGATTTTAAACTAACCAGTCGCTTCCTCCAAAGTTTGGACGGTCTTTACACGCTAACCAATGACCGCAAACTGTAAGAAGATTCATTATTGGCTTAATAAGCAAGGTTTAATTAGGCTGGACGGGTCACCAAAGACAAAAGACAAAGCTAAAGTTGATATATTTAAAGGTGAACAAAAATGAACAAATCAGAACACGTAATCGTGACAAATCCTATGCGAAATAGAGAACAAATTAGTAACAGATCAGATCCCCAAGGAGATCATAATAATAAATCGGACGCGTACAGATGGTAAATGCTGTCAACTCGGACACGTCAAGAGAACTTCAACAAATCTGATAAAACACGAGAGAGAGAGGGCCATGACATAGTGAATGCGTAACGAAATATTGAGCAAAAGACACATCTTATTCATGAAGAGAGAGAGCTAGAGAAGGGAGTTACGAGATGAAGCGCATGATCATAAATAATGTGCGATTCAAAATTACTCCTGAAAGACAACTCTTATAGAGAATTCAGTGTCTCCGTTGTTGCACATGTACTATGAATTTCTTATTTAATTTTCATATGTAAAAAAAAAAAATTTTAATTTTTTTAATATTAACAAATTAAATGTTCAAAGTTATTTGTTCTGTGAATTGATTCATGCATTGTCTCCGACTTTACGCAAGTGTGCAAAATTTCAGATCGATTGGACAGGTAGAAGTGTTTTAAATATCGATTATTAGATTTGAAGCAAACATGAAGTGAAGTTAAAGAGAAGTGTTGCAAATAGAACACAAATAATACACTATATACCTATGATCTCTACACATCAAATATATGTTCACAATGCATTCAAATTTTGACACCATCACACACAATAACGTACCCTGGCATTGGAGATAAAATTCTATAAGATAGGAACCAAGCATGCCAGTCTAGAACAGCAACTTAAATGACGGGTACCGAAAATTCAACACCCATGTCAGATCTGGTCACGCTTGATCTTAGCGGTCCAATTGCCAGTATTAGGAAATTTGCAAACTACAATATTACAAGAATACTGTTTTTAGGCAAGTTGGGTCCTAATTGCATTTGATAATGTTATATATAACCTCTATTGTGAATTATAGTTTATATTCAAACAAACTTTTGATTGCAACTTTGGAAAAATTTGATTCCTCTGTGATGTCTTTCACCTGTTACGTATTACTTTCTAAAAACATAATATCCGCAATTCGAATGTTTATACACGGAAGGACCCACTAAAAATTAACGTTCTGTTGATCTCCGTACCTTGCTTTTCGAATTTCTCCGTCCTTGTATCACCCAGCCCTGCAAATTCTTTTTCCAAAAGAGAATTTGCAAAATTCTCTTTTCTTAACTTCTTCAAAAATGAAAGCCGTATCAATGCCGGCATACTGCATGTTACACGCCCATTTATGCCTCCTAGTATGGTCAGAATTACGAGTATACTCCTGATTTATGAACTTAACACCTGAAGCAAAGTTAAACATGCCTCCAAAAACCCAGCAATTCTGTCAATGTGCTTCTTCACTTTGTTCTCGTGCTCATTTGGAGGCCTTGACACCTGCGTGTGCTGGGCAAACCTCGTCCCTGGAGCCCAGTATTTCTGTCGCTGTAACTCAAAGCTGCTTGTCTCGCATGGCAATCGTAATGCCGTGTTGTCTCATTCGTGCGTATCAGCAATGGTCCTGTAATGGCTCATTAGAGTGCCATTGTGTCAGGCCACGTTCCATTAGAGCTCATTAACTGAACTACTTAGGCTTATGAGAGTCCTTTCTATACTTAGTGACTGAGGCCGCGGCTCCGGCAAATCGTTGAGTGTATTTCAAACCAGTTCCTCCAATTACGCCGCATGAGGGCGTCGACTTTCAGAAGTTCTAATTATTTTTAATTTTGATTTAATATTTTCCATCAGCCTTTATTTAAATGGCTTTAATTCAGAGAATAATTGTACGTTTATCATTGAAACCTTCAAGCTCTAGCCACCAGATATATCTTTAGAGGTGCTTGTTTTAACGCCACGCCCGCAATCTATCACCAATAATTAATGCAATAACAACTGAATAATAAAACAGAAAGACGAACAACGCAGCGATTCTTTTATGATCTGCAAAGCGATGCCTCGCTCTCTGTGCTTCAATAATACAAACAAATGAAGCTCCTACCAAATAACCAAGGCAGGAATTTTTAACTTCGTAATTTGTCTGTATATTTTTCCAGAATATTATCGTATCAAGGTTCAGCAATCAACTTGATTATTCAAAGCGGAAACCAAGCGCAGAAAGCATTAAGACAAGACAGCTTTGACGCAGCGAAGGGAGCGAGTAATCTCGTTTGTAGATTCATTTGAAGTCTTTACTGTTACTTTTCATTACTGTTGTAGGGAAGACACTTTGATTTATGCGTTGTTTTACGAATAGATGTGAAGGTAGGAGGGAATAAAGATTTTGTACTTCTCTGAAAAAGAAATAGTTAATAAGAAGCATTAACTCTGGAGGTTTAATTTTGGTGTGATTCTAAGCCTGTTCGAACGTCGAAACATCATTTGATGTTCCTCGATACTATTAGCGTGCAATCTAGCATTTTTGGGTGAATAGATTTGTTGCTGGGAATTTTATTTGTTTTTAATAGATTTTTTCCAGGGAATTTGTATTTCATTCATTTTCTTTTTTTTTTCTTTTGGGCAATTTTCTAGCCAAGAAAATATAAATTAGTTTTCACTATTTACATTACAGATTAAAGTTTATTGCGGACATCATATTTTACATTCAAAGTGTACTGTACATAGAGGAATTTATCATGTAAAACTTTCTACCTCAATTATACCCTGCCTGAAATTTGCTATCAATTATGTTAGATTTGTTCAAGATTTAATATTTCATGCGAACAATCATGAAAAATTTTTGGCCTCTACTAAGCAAAAGTTCTTTGATTGCCTTCAATTTATGTAATTGCTTCAAATTCCCACAACATTCAAACTTCAATACTGGCGACGTAAATATTATAGTTTGTAACTTAAATTTCTGCTAAAGCCTCATTTATTCACAATTCAAGTTTTTAGGATGGAAATCAATTGGTGTGCAGTTATTTTTATAAAAAAAATTGTCTAAGTAAATCGCCTGAGGCATTTTAATCCTGTTTGAGAGCGGTAAATCAGGTACTGCAGCGTAAAATAAAGTGTTCATCAAGCGTATGGCTTATATTTAATATGTAAAGATTCTCGATTTTTCAGCTCCTCATTTATGCAGAGAATAATTCCAGTATTTCTTGATATTACTATTAGAATTTTTCCAATTCTGTCCGTTCCTCTGACGAATCCTCGAGTATCAAATATAAGCCAGAAATTATTTCTTATGAGAACTGATGTCGGATGCAATTTTTCCTACTCATAAGCATTGACAGGTTTGCTAACAAAGACGTCTTTCACAACCGTTCATTAAGGCCGAGTATTAATGACAATGGAGGGAGTTATTGATTTTATGGACTAGTGTCACGACGACTTATTAATGAACCGTCATGTATTACATTATTCGTAGCCTCGCCAGGCAACCCTTACGATAGTACCTGCCTCTGCAGATACAACAATAGCAAATTAACAGTAGATGGCAGGGTAAAAATTTATCAGTAAGTACACCAGTAGTATGAGTTTAGAGTCGGTCGAATATTTGACTTCCGATGCTACGTATTAATTCTTTCACATTAGATTACCAAGAAAATGTCCAGGTTAACAAATATTTATACTTCATCAGAGAGTACTTCCTACCACCAGCACTCTAATGAAAACCTTATTAATTCCCGTGTAAATAAACAAGATCTTATATTCTGTGAAGTTCATCAACCGTCCTCGATGGATCTGCTCAAATCGTTACACGGGCGCTCCTTTCGCTCGCTTCAAACCTCACTCTGACTTGCAATTCAACACAGGCAGCATGGCTCGATGGCAAAGTCATTCATTTGTTGTGAACTTTAATGATTAATTTTAATGATTAGTATTATGATTAGAAATTAAAATTAAAAATTAATTTTAATGATTAGACAACACTGTAAGAAAATTTAAAGTGTTTTCTATTCGTTAGATTATTTTTGGCAAATCGTAGACCTTTTTCTTATTATTACTAGGCTACAATTATATCTGCTTTCTTGTTTCTGATCATTGGAAAATTATTTTAATTGAACACTTTTTATTCTCTTTCAGAGCTTCTTCAGCGCTACTCTCTGCCTTAACTTTGTGAAGAAGTGCAGTGTAATCAAACGAATCAGTGAAAAAAGTTCTATACTGGTGATAATAATTGCAGAAGTGCTTTGATTCATTAAGGAATAAAACATTACAAATTGATCGAATTCGTACTCCAAAAATTTTGAGAACACCACAAGGAAAACTTATATGTTGTAATTTACAACATCAACAATTTTTCTCTTCGATGCTTTAATTGCGAATTCTACGTCATTTCTAAATCCCTCTGTTCACTTTGTAAACTAAAATCGCTCTCACAACACCTTCTAAATCTCATATCAACATTTTGAATGATTATTAGACTAAAGAATCATCATGAGAGGCTGGATGACACTCACACACATCCTCTGGACAGCTCTGTACTGCCACTGCTCTGCGACACTCTCACCGCCTCTACCCTCAACCTATTACGCTCCTTTCCCTTCTTTTTCCAATAACTCCACCGCTCCCTTTCTTACCGTCGATGATATAATTTCATTTATGCGTGATTCAGCGAAGGCAAACTCTTTTTCTACGTCGGTGGGAAGACAGAAAATTCAATCGAATCGCTCAATTCAGAATGCCACTCTGTCTCCCCATCACACTTCAGAGCAGCTGCTTCGAGTCTGGGGAGACGGGCCACAAAATAATCCGAAACAACAAGCTAACCCTGCAACTACAACACAAGAAGAAATATTCCAGCAACAACAATCGTCCGTGCAATGGCACTCAACTGAACACAGAGAGCGAGGTAAGGCATCTAGCGCTAATAAAACTATCACTTAACTAGATTCTATATTTTATGCCGTCATCCACAGAATTATTAAATGTTTGTTACAAAGCAATCCCCAAGTTGCGATATTACGAGTGCATTCTGATAAAAAGCTGCAGAAAAGTTGCAATTACGGACTAAGAACAAAACCAGTTTGCCGCCGCGCTATATATAGCTATCAACTCATTAATTATATATCAGATATTTATCATGGCAAATTAAGGCAACTTTTATGAGCACTCATATACCAACATTGATAGTGCTAACTAATTAGTACAACTTTTATGCTGATTTATTCAATAATATTATGTTGTTATGTTTTAACATTACGCGCTCCATGACGAGCTCTCCCAGGCCATTGCAGCTAATATGGCCAACTGAGGTCTCTTTTCTTGCTGCCCTAGCAACAGTTCATGAAACAGCCTGATCAGGCTCACGATAATTGTCAAATTCTCATCAATAGGGCAGTTGGCGATGAAATTTAGATGAATTTATATTTTTCTGTATTTTGTGAGCCATTTTAGTAGGAACTCGATGACTAGAAAGTTAAATCATGTCAACCATATATGAAGATTATGTAATGCCATCTCGTTTAAATAGTTTTAAAGTACAATGCAAGTGTCATTCTTTCTTGTGCTCAGCATTCTTACTTGGAAGAAAGTGAATTTCGGGTAAATAAAATCAGCTGATTTATAGGCACAATGTTCGTCAAAGTATAAAAAAAGATCAGTTCAAGATCGTCAGCCCTTGTGAAAGAGTGAGCCATATTTGGCTACATAATCCCTTCGAAATTCTATTTATTTTCCACTAAAAGCTATACGCCGAAGGGCCATTCAACAAGTTGAACAATTGCGTCCAGCAGAGGAAAATCAACAGCAATATCAGCGAGGATTTCTTCAAACAAATTTTCCCTCGCATGTTTTTTGATAGATAAACTGAAGCGAGTTGCAACTCATATCCGTTCCGACTGGTTCGGATAAATGACAAGTTACCTAAATTGGCTAAAAGTAAGATTTTCCGGTATGAGTGGAAATGAAGGATCTGTTCTATTCCATCATAAAAACGACAAATAAAGCATTGATTCAAAAACAGTGGAATTGTAAAAATTAAATAAAAACTATACATACAAGGCAATCAATGGCAATACCATGCCGCACACGAAAAGTTGTTCACGTTTCTGCATGGAATCAACGGAAGAGAACGTTTGTGAATTACATGATCCACGGCAATAACTCTGAACAACTTTTCTGCATTGAATCATCCATGGCAATGCCATGCTGCATCCGAAAAGTTGAACGCGTTCATGCATGAAATCATCCATGGCAATGTCACGTTGTATACGAAAATTTGAGCTCATTTCTGCATGGAATGATCTGCGAAAATCTCGCGCCATGTTTGCCTATAATGCGCAATGCACCCTTTATATATACTCTATGTATTTATGAAGGGCATCTACGCTGGTCGTGTACCCGACAGATCTGCAAATGTTATGATCTCAGTTCAATAAGGTTGCAATAATAATGTTTTCATTAGCTAGCATTCTTAAAAAATGTTTTGTCTCAATAAAATTTTTAAATTCAGATATTTTTCCTAAGTGAACAATGAGAAAATACTCATTTCAAATTGGTAATGGTGATCTATTTCTGAAGCAACTTACGTGAAATTTTTGATATTATGCCTTTGATCATAATGCTATTCTTTTAACTACATATTTTTGATAAATACTGACATTAAGAAAAATGAAACATAGATGGTTAACAGCCCTAAATTCCACACAATCATGGCAAACATGATACCATAATTGATGTAAACGTGGCATTGCATTCATAATCTTGTACATAACAACACTGTCCAAACAAACATTGGATTAAAAAAAACAGTATAATTTTTTGTCTTGGTCATTAACAATCTTTCTGATTACTTTTTATTTTTGTATGGTCTCTCATTGACGGTAAACATGAACACCATGAACGATATTTACTTTGTCGAGCAGGTATCGATTCGATTTCAGTCCACATTATGAACACATTTTTGTGAATTTTACCACACAATTTTAATAAATTGTGTGAAAAGTCAAGAATATTCAATTTTTTTTTATTCTGGTCTGAAATTGAACCGATTTTGTGGTTTTTTATATCCAGTGACGATGTGAATAAAATTTGAGACCTTCATTAAATCGCAATTTATCACCGAAGTCCAGGAATCGAACGGGCCTCGATTTTCGGGCGCTGCTAAGGAAGAAGTAAAACATTTGGTGCGAGACATGCCTCGGGCGTATTTCTTTTCAGGCTCAGTGCCGCTGTGCACATCGAGAAGACTTATTCACCGTTCCCAGACGTTCTTTCTTATCGTAAAATGAGGACTTTTCTTTCAGACCTAATCGGGCAAGAATGTTTTCTGTGCGGTCGCCGTGAAGGAAAATCCTTTTATATCCAGACATTGGTGCAAAAAAATAGAACACATTGTTAGAAAGAAGCGTCGTAAATGAATACAAGCAGCAGAGTAACGGTCCTTACGGAACAATGTTTATTTCGCCGCCAGGCCTTCCTTGGCAAAACCTTTTCTTTTACACCAACATTCCGAAAAAATTACCATATTCAGCTGTGCTGTTATGGCCGACTGCATTACGACACACCATGAGACCGCTGAATATTTTTGCTGCTTAAACAAATTAAATGGAGTGTCTTATGCCAAGCCGTGGCAAATAGGGACTTGAGTAAAAGCTTGACTCGCAATATAGGTCTTAACGATTTTTAGCTACTTGTGCAATGAATATTACATCCCAATTAATGAGTGCAACATGATAATGTTGACGTCATTACCTGCGCGGATTGCCATCTCTCCTGCAACTTCAACAGTTATTGTCTCCACAGTTAACTTCTACACGTATCAATTTTATTTTATTTTTTTTTTCACGGTGATTCCAGTTTTTTATACATATACTGGAGCATCATCTAAAAACTTGTTTTTAATTCAGAATTTAGGCTTAAATTTCATGAAAATTATTCTTAGTTACTTGGAAAAAATATAGACACTAAATATATCACAGTTTCTCGGCGTTTTTATCTACATTGGTGGAAACTAATTACTGGCAAAGACTGTTTGGCCGACTTCTGAATTGATCATACTTTTGCTAGTAGTGATGATGCAATTATCAAGTTTAAATTAAGTCTCTGCACAAAACTTATGTTTGAAAACTTCTGTCTCCTCACCGCCCTCATGGAAGCCAATGAATTCCAATTAAGAATTGAAACTGAAGTTAAGGCGGCAGCAACTTAACCTGCTCAAAAAACTTTGAATTATTATTGTCTAATTGAAGTGGGTTCCGATCAAACGATGCGCCTTTTCAATGGTGCGCGCCGACTTTGAAAAAAACGAGCGCCAACAACTTTTTTGAATTTGTTCTAAATTGCGTGAAGGAATTAATGAAATATTATCGGAAAAATATTCGCCTAAAATAAAATCCTAATTTTATATTTTGTTATTAATTCGTGCATTATATTATTCATAAGGGTCATTTAGGGATCTATGTTCCAATGAACAAACTATAATCATGTTTCTTTAGCCTAACTTAAAATTGAGAATTTTTGGCTTGTAACGTCAAGAAACGCGAATAATAATTCTCTGAACCCCAAACCATGTTTAAAATGCATTTAAGCGTTATATTACATCATGTGTTCGGAGAAACTAACTGAGGCGCCATATTTCAGAGCTAAATTTTGGAAATTTTTAACGTGTGTTTTTTACGTTTCATTTCAGGTGGGACAAATAACCTGGCGAGTCGACTTGACCGCAGTCCTCAGGAGAGAGGTCGCAGAAAGAAACGAGGTGCTGAGTTGGAAAGGTCACTGCGCTCAAATGCAGACCGAAAACGATCCGTTTATGAAAACATTCCACCCATCACCAGTCAGCGACGTCGATCCTTGGAAGTCCAGAACTCAGAACAAGATGAGGAAGTCCACCACAATCAGAGACTCAATCAAATTTATTTGTCAGGAAGCCTTCGAGGAAGCTCATCAGACTATTTCTTGCGAGACAACTTGCACCGGAGTGAGACAATGTCTACCGAACTGCCCCCATTCATCCCTAAGGGTAAAAGTCCAAGTGTCTTCAGCCCAAGCAACGTCCACGAGGGTCTCCGGTGCCGGCGAAATGCAATACAAAGTTATCGATCACGCACATGGACTATAAATTCGAACGAGTGGAACAATCAATCCACCGGACGGAATAGGAGATCAACTGTGAGGTGCAAGCGCAGGAGTTTTCTAGGTGTTGGTCCTCCATCATTCCACGTGTCTTCGCCGAAGAATATTACGGCTCAACTGGGTGCCAGTGCCTACCTACCATGCAGGATAAAAAACCTCGGCAATAAATCTGTGAGTCAATTGGAGTTTGGAGTGACACTCTTGAGCTCTTGAGCTTTCGGCCGCTGGTCAAACCCAGTCTTATTGTTTCGACGGCCAGTGCGAAAATCAGGACAGATTTGGAATTCTATTCACTGGTACCAAATAGACTTTAGACGACAACATTTGCTTCAACATTTCGGGATTTTAGTTCAATAAGGCTTTCAAGCTTTCGATAGTAAATAGCTCACGGTTCGTATTAAGTTTAGCCTACTAAACTACAAACCTTTATTTGTTATTTAAGATAAGAGATTATTCGCATTTATTTGTTATTGTAATGGATGTATTTCTTATTTAAAGGAAAAAGCTAACTCAAACAGCAAGCACCAATAATTAGAATAAATTAGAAGAATTCATTTTACGACCCGAGCATTTGATACCTTTTTTCGCAAAAATTCAGATACATTCATAAAAATTACCATTTTCACCCGGCATTAATCTCTCAAAAACATAAACAATAAATTTTCTTCATCTCTTCAAAAAATTAAGTAATGTTTTCGAGGGCAACAATTTATTCGATGTACTTTGTTCAGTGTTGATGGAAAGTTGGCAGGCCTAGCGACTTCCTCAACAGTGCAGTTAGTCAGGCCTGCACGATGAGGAAAGATGTGACCGAATTACATATAAATCTACTGTAACTTTCATCGTAATACAAATTATTTTTTTGGAAATTGGATTACGTTATTTCAACGTAATCCGAATTCTTTGTTAGGAATTACCCCGTTACGTTATGGTTGTTATTCTTCTTTAGTTTTTTACTAATTGTATTTTATCGCCCTAGAAAAGTTTACAAATCTATAGGACTTCTTCTTACCCAAATGTAGTTACCGTAGTTCAGAAAACAGCAACACGTGATCGGTGATTATGGTTACATATTATGTAATTATAATAATAATAATTATAGTTACATATCTATTTAAATATTCTGCCTTAGGTTTCGTGGTTCCGGAAGCGGGACTCGCACATCCTAACGGTGGATCGCAACACATTCATCGCTGACGATCGCTTCAGCGCCTGGCACGAGGGAGGCACACAGTCCTGGACTCTACGGATCCAGTACGCCCAGTTCCGGGACGCCGGCGACTACGAGTGCCAAGTCTCAACCGTTTAAAAATATATTTTAGTATTGCTTTGCCGAGATAGAATGTATCTGAACTTTGCATGGTAGAAAAATTCCATGCAGTTATCTCTAAAAGTACTTGCGTTAACATCAAAACTGAAATTTGAAAATGTTTTTATTCGATTGAGCAGTGAAAAAAATTTCATTTTACCAGCTTCCACTGATTTTACAACATAAATTATTTTTCGTCTCATCGTGAGTTATTTCAGAAATTTGTTTTCTTACGGTTTGACTTGTGATGCCACTTGAATATGTCTTGTATTGCTTACTTGGTTAAACTTGAACGACCAGCACCGGGTGCGCGACGCGAGATGAAGCAAACCAAGTTTGGCGCCGCGACATTTCAAAGCGCTGCAAATTGCCTAAATTGAAGACCCGGCGCCATCGGAGACTGTGAACTCCGGGACCAGACGCTAGTTGTCTGTAAAAATTGTGTTCAAGTCTAACTTTCCTAAGCCTGGTAAACAATAAATAAATCATTGACGGAAAATAACATTAGATTTCATGACGATGGCTGCATTCAGCGAAATTTTTTAGATGAAGTGTAACACAACTGTTAGACAAACATGAATAAATAGAACTTCAAGTTTGCGCAATCTACTACTGCAGGTAAAAAAGCAGTCTTTACGAGCCATTATCATGCATCAGCAAGATAAGTTGTCACACTTTTTACAATGAATTCAGTCATAATTTTTGTCTAACCAAACTCCTCACGATCATTCATATGAGAGAGCACCAAAACGTCTACATTTGCAAACTTGACAACTCGTTAAAGTGTTTCGTTTATTTAAGAAAAATTCGACGTTCGCTTGAAGTGAAAGTTCGAAACTAAAATGAAGCTCAGACTTGAACGTAACTTGATATGAGCAAACGGTGATCTTTGTTTTAGTGAGGAGGCATATGAAGCGGAGTTTGAACTGGGAACTTCTTCAAAACTTGTGTTCACTAAAGTAAGAGTGTAAGACAAATTTCGTCTAATTACTTTGGAAGCTGATTATGCATTCAAATTCATCGCTACTAATAATAAGCTGAGGCCTCGCGAGTAACTGTGCTTTGAATGAAACATATGCTCACTCGTGTGTGAATTTTTCGGCTTGCACTTCTCATCATTTTTACTTGTGAAATAATCATGGAATATTAAATATATAAAATAATGTACAGCTTGCCGACGAAGTAGATTTTTACAGCGTGTAATTATTTTACAGTTTTCCGCTAATATTAAATTTGTGGAACTAAATTGAAGAAAAGTACTAATTTTGAAAGAGAAACTCATCGCATTTATTCAAATTTACACCAAATATATTGCAGCTTTTACGGTATCGTATTTACATCATTTTATGTGCTCGTGTTACATTGTTTCCGTTTCAATATGCGCCTATCTTGGGATACATGAACATTTTATACCAAATACTTGATAAATGTTTGTGGCTTCAAGATAAACTCGTTCAGAAACTCAACAAATTCCAAGTTAGTAGTCAGTCTGCTGCCCAAAACTTTTAATAAAGACAAGTACGAACACCACAGCAATGCCATTCGATTATTTTTATTGGTAATTTCACCCGAACCAAATTGATAAATAAGAATCCAAACAAATGAAGATTAGACTCGCATAACATTCCATCCCGTCCCGTAGCACAATAAATGTACAACTTAATAAACATGGACAATATATAACACAAGATATTAACCCTGGCAGATATGCAAACGACATTCCGCAGAAGTTTCCACTCAGCCCAAAGGTTCTAAGCTTGCAAGGAACTCGTAATTAAGCGGTGAGCTTAACGCTAATCCTACGAGCTCCTTGTGTTGCCTGTCAGCGAGATTGTCTTGTAACACTCGCATAAATAAATGACGGATAGGCCGTTTTCAATAGAAGACGTTTTATGCAACTTACAACCAGTGTGAAGTCCAGAAATGTTCTGCGAACGGAAGTTTCATAAAGTTAGCAAAAAATAAATAAATATATCTCACGGAAAGCGTTTTTTATTATATGTTAGCATTTTTGAGTGCCGAGCTTATTTAATAGATTTTGCATGTCCAGTTTCGTACTCCATTAAGTTACACCAAAAGGGGCTAAAAAATCGAACCAAGTCTTCAGTTGGCGTGAATTTAGGGAAGCAAACTTGTCATAGGCTCACCAATTAAAGTGTAAAATTTTATCAAAAAACTTATTCAATATACAAAATTGTCTGATAAATTTTGCAGTTTTGCTACTAAAATATTTCAGTTCTCTCAGACGCTTTAAATAAGACGAGAGCCGAGCTTCAGAGCGTACGGAGGTCGGCAAATAATTTCGTTCACATGTCGGCCTCTCGTCGCGCCGTCGCTCGCAAGGCGATGAGATCTTGGCAAGCCGATGACCTGGTGCCGTGCCTGCCAAGTCTAGCCAGCACGCAAACCAAGAGAAATCTTTGCTAAAATTCCCACTTCAATCGTATTTATAAATTCCGCTTGTCCAATCACTAACATACAAATTTTCATTCTAATTATCGCTTAGTGCTGCTAAAATTCCCACTTCAAAGGTAGCTTCATAAGGTATTGATACATTCCGCTTGTCCAATCACTAACATACAAATTTGCATTCTAAATATCACCTCGTGCACACCATATAACGAGTTTTTCTAAATTATAATTTGACGATTCATAAAAATAAGTATTCACTTTTTGTTAATACCAACATGCGACAAAACCGCAAACAGAAAATTCTGTCGCTAACTGCAATTCACAGCTTTCTTCACAACGATTTTATTCACAATATTGTCGCTTGACGCATCAAAAGAAGACTCTTCATCTTTCTACTCAAATAGGAATTTATTTCCCCCTTCAAATTGCTCGTTCCTCGTGAGAAATTACTTCATTTTCCCCAATCAAAACGACTTCAGTTTTTATTAGGCCCATGAAAATCCCGAGCAGAATTCTGACTTGGAACCGACTTGGCGGATGTGGTTTGGCGCGGCCACAAGTTAAGCTTAAGTTAGGGAGCGGCCGCTGGTATATGGGTCGAGACGTACAGTAACTTGCATGGCCCTGGGTAGCAACTGCCCCGGTTAGTTAAGAGCTGTTGTAGAGTTGTAGGCAACACAACTTTGGAACGACCCCTTTGAATACCACTCGGACACTCTCAACCATATCTTCATTTGTGTCGCTACAGCGTTGGCCAGCCGTCGGAAGCCTATAGGCCGTTTTTGATTTTCATCAGGGGAAAGGGTTAGCCTTCGTTCTATATTCAGAGGGAAGCAAACTTGCCAAGTGAGTTTTTCGGAGGGCATGAATTCCTGATATAAGAATTTGATTGATATGAATGAAAAATAAGAAAACAAAATTTTAATATCTGTACTAGTTCAGGATGCAAAAATTATTTCTTTCAAGTCACCAAGACTGGAGGAACTCCAAGTCTCATGAGGAATTTCTAAATCAAAATTGAAGATGTCGACCATTTCATTATAAGAGTTCGGAGGTCGATCATAACCGCCGAATAATACATGATCACACAAACCACACAGATCACACAGACCACACACATCACACAGAATGCGGGTCGATGCGCGTAAAGAAACGCAAAGTTATTCATTTCTTCATGGGTAAATGAATAAATATGGTGATCTCGCTCACTAAACTTCATGCAAGATAGTGCTTATACATCAGATCAGGGAAAAAATTTATGATCATCAGAGATTATCTAAATTTTAAATAATTTTTCACGTTAAACGCCAAATTACATAATCTTATGAACATATCTTGGAAACCTATTTTGATATCAGGCTTTTAGGAAACGGCATATACATAGGTCCTCCAGTCACTCAATTACATCAATCGGCACTCTTAAGCACAACTTCGACGAGGTACTTAGCATTAAAGCGCCAGGCCGAGGTGTTAAGTTTACATAATATGAACCAATTTGAACAAACTTTGACGATCACCCGACCTCACCTCCTCTCTTCTTCCCCATTCTGCACATTTGAATCCCCAGACTGACATCTCGCTAATTGTCAGCTCAGAAATATAGGCTCCAGCTGACGTCTTCTAATCTCTTCACTGTTGCGTTTAAATCGACGCAGTCACGCGCCTCTCTATTTGAACAGCCACATCTGACAGCAGCATCTCACACATGTGATGAATTGTAATGACATCCACGCATATCGTAAGCCCATGCACACAGTCCGCTTTAAAACTAAATTATTGAAATTGTTACCTTGGATAACGCGAATATTTCAAATGGAATTCAGGAGTAACTTCTCCCTTAAATTCAATAGAGTTTGCCTCCCTGCATAAGCAAATTACTCTCCATGCTCTTCGTAGTCTAGCTGCATCCGAAGTCAACTTAAACTCAAGTCGAAGTCTGCAGAACTTAGTAGCTCTGAAGATGGTCTTGGGAACGAACTTGTTCCCTGACATTCATGTACCAGCACCCTGTGCCTCAGAGCCCAAGCCATGTTTTGTTATCGATTTATTTTAATTGCTCCATTAGTATAATTTACTTCTACTGAATGAGAATTTGAGCAGTAAAAAATGATTTTTTTTTGTGAAAAATGCAGTATATAGATGTAAAGTTATGCAATTGAAGCTAGAAATCTTGATTTATGAATATAACATGCACGTTTTTATTGAGTATTTGCGCAGAAGGTGTCACTCAGCATATAAAAAAGTATTTTCTGCAGTAAAGGCTGTAAGTTTTATAGTGTCTAGAATGAAGAAACTCTTTGAGTATAATTATATGACGAAGCTGATGCCCGAAGTTTTAATGGAATAGAATTTTCGCATTGTATCTATGAAATCGAATAGCACTATGTAACAAGCACTCTATGCATTTTAATTAATTATGGTAACCCACATGACCAACTGTGTACATTAGAATTAGCTGCTAAAAGCCAGGTCCAGTCAATTTTTGTCACCAATTCTCACATTTTTGATCAACATTGTGACAATAGCATGTATGTGTTTTTATGAACGCTATGAACTTTAATGTTTAACAAAGGTTTTAAAGACAGTCTCAATTCTAAAAATAAATTCAGGATGTTTTTTTCGCTTCTTACAGTTGCTTCAACTGAAAGCTCAGAAAATGAAAATTTTCTCAACTGCGCAAATGCGCTTGACCAAAAGAAAACTGCACGGAAGCGTTGTTGCAGCGTACAGTCAGAACATGACTGCGTGGTTCATCATCTCCTTGTTTCTACTGACATGTTCTGTTCATGTTTGCAGCGTACAGTCAGAACATGAGTGCGTGGTTCATCATCTCCTTGTTTATACTGACATGTTCTGTCCATGTTTGCAGCGTTCAGACAGAACATGAATGCGTGGTTCATCATCTCTTTGTTTCCACTGAAATGTTCTGTCCATGTTTGCAATATACAGCAAGAAAAAAACATGAGTAGTTGGTTCGTCATGTCTCTGTTTCACTTGACATGTACTGTCCATGTTTGCAGCGCTTGGCAATTCAGAAATAGCGTTAGAGAGCCTCTCATCCTCTTATCTAATCCCCATGGGGGTGATTTACTGGGGACTATTGGTGCACTGGGAGCGGCGATGGGGATAATTACACCCACTTTGTGTGAGGAGACCTCCTGCTCATTAGGGGTAATCTGTATTCCCCAAGTCTACCACAAAAGTGCAGGGGAAGTTTAAACATCCCCAAGAAGAGCTCGGACGGACGTGATTGCAGAGGCTTTTCTCGATATAAACTTTATTCATTAGCTCTCTTATGGGGAAACTTTTAGAATTAGATAAAAATAATTCGTTGTCAAACTATTATATAATTTATTTGTTATTCTCTGAGTTTTCTATTTTCTTTATAACCAATCGATGATGACGTGTGATTGAGTAATCTTTGTCGCACCTCGCAGGCATTCTTTCTAATTAAATGTGTAGAAACCAACCCAGAGGGACATTTATATATTAATTGAGCTATTCGTTGAATTTAATTTCACAACATTAATTATACTTTTCATTATTTATTTATTTTCTCTTGTTTGAATACTATCACGTTTCATCGGAACGATTAATTTTGTGGCTCTGTCATGCAGAGTGCGATAGATCAGAAAATCGAGGATTTTATTTTACTGAATAAAAATAATAAATTATTATATTAATACACTAAAGTATTACTATAGAACATATTAATCAATTTAATTTACAAATATCTTACATTTTTCTCAGAACCCTCAGCCGTGATCTCAGGCACTCAGGACCAGTTCGTGCGTGCCGGCAGCACAGTGACGCTAACATGTGAGCTGCACAACACGGTTGAGGAGCCCAGCTTCATATTCTGGTATCAGGTCAGGGCTACAACATCACTTTGATATTAGCTACATTGATAGTGTGAAGCGGAGTGTAACTTCTACGTTGCAAGAAAGTCTAACTAGTTAAAAACGCGATTACTTTTATAATAAGTTAGTTTTTCTTGTCGATTTCAATTGTTTTCTCAATAAATTTACGTTTTATTTATTTATATTTCATCTTCTGACGGTAACAGTTGTTACCATGCAGGCATCATATTCTAATATGAGTGGCGACAATAAATGCATCCTTAAACATCGTAATTTCTTTGTGACCACGTCCCCTTCCACGAAATTAAGACCACGTCCCCTTCCACGAAATTAAGACCACGTCCCCTTCCACGAAATTAAGACAACGTCCCCTTCCACGAAATTAAGACAACGTCCCCTTCCACGAAATTAAGACAACGGTCCCTTCCACAAAATTAAGACCACGTCCCCTCCCACGAAATTAAGACCACGTCCCCTTCCACGAAATTAAGACCACGTCCCCTTCCACGAAATTAAGACAACGTCCCCTTCCACGAAATTAAGACCACGTCCTCTTTCGCGAAATTAAGACCACGTCCTCTTCCACGAAATTAAGACCGCGTCCTCTTCCACAAAATTAAGACCACGTCCCCTGCCACGAAATTAAGACCACCTCCCCTTCCACGAAATTAAGACCACGTCCCCTTCCACGAAATTAAGACCGCGTCCTCTTCCACAAAATTAAGACCACGTCCCCTTCCACGAAACTAAGACCACGTCTTCTTCCACGAAATTAAGACCACGTCCCTTTCACGAAATTTCCCTGCCGCAAAATTAAGACCACGTCCCCTGCCACGAAATTAAGACCACGTCCCCTTCCACGAAATTAAGACCACGTCCTCTTCCATGAAATTAGGAGCACGTCTCCTTCCACGAAATTTCCCTTCCACGAAATTAAGACCACGTCCTCTTCACGAAATTAAGACCACGTCCCCTTCCCCGTGGCCAGGACGGCACGCGTCTCATCCACGCGGCGGGAGGGCGGCTCGTGATCGGCGCAGCGGTGCGCGTGGCCAGCGACCGCCACGCGTCCTCACTGACCATCCGACGCGCGGCGCCGCGGGACTCCGGCAACTACACGTGCGCCCCCGCGTCCATTGACCCCGCCAGCGTGACGCTGCACGTGCTGCATGGTGAGTGATGAGTGCTGCATGGTGAGTGATGAGTGCTGCATGGTGAGTGATGAGTGCTGTTCGGTGAGTGATGAGTACTGCATGGTGAGTGATGAGTGCTGCATGGTGAGTGATGAGTGCTGCATGGTGAGTGATGAGGATGAGTTCGGGACTTCCTAGTCCCCGGTTACGCTGATGCGCCGCCTTCGTCGTCCTCCGTCTCCGAGTCGTCGCTAGGCAGGTCACCCCGCCCTCGGGTCCCGGATGTAATGCTGCATGGTGAGTGATGAGTGCTGCATGGTGAGTGATGAATGCTGCACGGTGAGTCATGAATGCTGCGCGGTAAGTGATGAATGTTGCGCGGTAAGTGATGAATGTTGCGCGGTAAGTGATGAATGCTGCGCGGTGAGTGCTGAGTGGCTGTTATAAACTTCTTCTACTAAGTAACTTTCGATAGTCTATTTTTGTCCCAACTTTACTTGATTCATAAAATATTGTATGCTAGCATTTCTCACTGCTGCATTATTCATGGAGTTATAACTCACCATCTAACTTTTTAAACTCTTCTTCGGATGATCTCTAACAAAATTCTTCCCTCTCTAAAGAATTTCTTCAACATAAATACAGGCTTATACATTTGTCGCTCGTGACGCACGTACGTATATACCAGCTACAGGAAACATGTACCAGCTGCAAAAAATCAACTGGCTTCACAAAAAAAAAACAATATCAGCTACAAAAAAAATATTACTATTATTCTGCAATCAACAGATTCATTGAGGCAATACTAATGTCCCGCGTTAATTAGACGTTCTAATTGGTCCCCGCTGAAGCAATCGCTCTCGCCTGCGTTAATAGCGACTGAGTCCTGCGTTCTCGTGGTGCATGTAATGCTGCCTAAAACACCACGCACATTGTGTAGGTTTTTTCCTGATTAATCATGTAGTCATTTTGACGTTAAGCGCACTAATCGATCGAGCAAAATTTTTCTCAACAAAATACCATCAAACATCTTACCGTAAATTTTTACCATACCAAATATCTTACCATAACAAACATCTTACCATACCATACAATACCATCTTACAAAATACCATCGTTTGATCTTACCATCAAACAAAGGAAACAGACTCACAACAATATGTCCGGACACTGGTCGGGTTATTAATTTTATCCCAGTAAAACACGTATATCTCAGCTGCAAGAAACATGTACCAGCTGCAAAAAAATATACTGGCTTCACAAAAAATGCCCAATGAATTTACGAGTTAAAACTAGTGATGTGCAGCTTGTCTTTAGCACATGGCATCTATGTTGATTTTCAACGGCCATCATACGGTGGAGTTATTAATATATTAATAGTTAATAAGATTGTGTTTGATAAATAATTCTTGAGAGTCGCAATAAAAATAATCTATAAAATTAAAAATTTCACTGTTCCCATATAGGCTCTGTTCGTGTCACTCAACTGCAACAAAACGAATTGAAAATTAATTAGTTTTGACATATTGTCATTATAAAAACTCGTACCTTTAATATGATATTATTTACAGCAGTTAAACCGCATAAGTTATTTTGATTGCGTATTATCATGTGGAGAGGGATTGATATTTGCAAGACTCGTACAATAACAGAGCAAACAATTGCGTCTCTATTCAACAAAAAGATCAATTGGTGGCCCTGAAACTCGAGACATAGCCTTAATTAAGCTGATATTAAGCTATGAAATTCATTAAAAAATTTATCGGGATCTAAAGTTTAATAAAGTTTGCAAGCGCGATTCATTCTACGTTCTAAATAAATTCATACTTTATTATGAGTTAAATTATTGTATGCTGCACTAATAATTCACGTTTAACCTTTTTGTACTGAGTTGATTTAGCACTTTAAAGAAACTTAAAAGCACTTAATATTTGAAGTAAAGATAATTTAATAAATTCTAAACAATATATATTCGTCTTAAGTTCATTAATATTCCATAAATAATCCGAATTATTTCTATGAATTATTTCGTTTAAACATTTCTGGTTAAAACCAAACTTAAAATTCTTATTGGCCAGATTTCAATTTTTAGCCTCAAAATTCTTTTATTTGATTGCAAGTTTATCAAAAATGCTCCTCGTTTGCTCCACAGACGAGCATCCAGCAGCAATGCAACATGGCACAACCAACAGAGGCCCTGCAGCTGTGGCAGCGACTACAGCTGTAACAGCTGTTGTTGTCTGCCAATTGGTCATGTCTGCGAATGTTCAACAGCCGTCAACCTACAGCCTCTTGGCCCTCGTTTGCTGGACAGCTTTCTCGACATCGAGCATTGCGCTCAGTTTCTGCTTTAACGTCATAAAGGTTTTTGACATTCACAACTGCGTGCGTAATTTTGTTTCGATAACACAAAGAAACAAACAAAGGGAGATTGATAAAGAAGGGAACCCGACAGCTTCGAAGACGTGGCCCCAGAATCCCGACTTTCTGGAGGTTACAGAAGTCGTTTGTAAGCTCGAGTCTCCCAGGGAAGTCAGAACGTCTAAAACATGACTAGCTTATTGACTCCTCTTCGAATGAACGCGGGTTTTGATACGGCGATGAGACATTTGCTGTGATTAAATTCTTCAAGTATTCATGCTTAAATTATGTTCAAAAATTTCACCAAGAAAGTCTTAAAAATAGGTTTTCTTACTTTGTTAATTTAGATTTCTTTTTGTTTCACTAATTTTCGACAAGATGAACGAATACAACACCGTTTGTAAAATAGCGCTGGGGAATGACTAAAATTTTCAGTTCATCAAAAATTAGCTATATCCATTCATCACCAAATGCTTCATATGATTAATGCAAACCAACTAACTTTCGTCGACAAGTTACATGGATTTTTGAGCAACGCTACCATGCATGACATCCAAGCTTCAATTAAAAATTTGTTCAGCCCGTGGAATTTATTTATGAGTTCAGACTTGTCTTTTAGAGACAATTTTTTACGGGAATTATTTTAGATGACACTGATTTAATTGCAGCAAACGGTGTGTTCAATCGCCTAGTCATTGTGCGCATTCTCTAAGAGGTTTGTACATAACCATTGTACAGAATTATTGTACAGTAACAAAGAAGTCTCGGTGTGGTTATAAATGTCGATGGCAGATTAAGTTTGTGTATTTTTTATATGAAAACTTCCCGAGTTTATTATGCTGTAGAAAACCTATTACAACATAGCTTAACAGACTACGTAAATTCTACGGTCGTCGTGTAAATAAATTGAAATAGTTAACAAATAGTATGGTTCCCCAATGCCATTGCAGGAGCAACAAAACTCAGAACAGTATGGAAATAGTTCGCCATTCCTGAAATCAACTTTTCAAGAACTAACTGAAGACAAGCAAATGATGCTGGTAAAAATAATATTTCTGCAAGCATGTTGATTTGTCTCTTGATATGGAATTGTCTATTAAATAAAGAGACGCGCCAATGACAGCTGGCCGGGACATCAAGATTATAATAACAAATGAAAGGATAACGCGGGAGCTGGGCACACAAGTTAAAATTTCTAAGAAAATTGTCTTAAAATGGAGCGTCTAGAAGTGCAAATGAGAATGAGATTGAATTATTTCGCACGCACTAGCTTCTCTTTCCATAAAATGTGATCCTTGTACGCAAGGTCAATCAATTGTTCACATTTCTCCGCATTAATATAGAAGCATTCAGTTGAGCTTTTCAAAAGCCTTGTCTTTTTCCTAAAAATTAAAATTTCAAATGAAGATAAAGCTTTAATGCTCTCAGAGGAATCGTGAAATGGAACGTTTTTAACCGAATAATTGCTTGCAATGACAATGGAAAGAAATTGAGCTGGCGTATCAGATGACGTGACGTCAATCGCAAAAAGATTAAAGATTGAAATTTTTTACAATCATTACCATGTCTTTGTCTCATTTATATTTTAAAACAGTGAGAAAAACTACCAAACATCATCAATTATATATGTAAATATGTATGGTCTGCACGTGTACATTTTCTTGGCAAGTTTACGGCAATGGGAGCATTTCTCTTGTAAAGTTTTTCTTTGTAATGTCTTTAATTAGTCTTTTTATGTGATGATGCAGCTCAATGAGTCTCGTGTAAAGCAAGTGACTTGATCTTTCCGTTGTTTCCATGGGAATATTTGCGTCCATGCAATTCATTGTCATAAAAACTAGGCAACAACTGCCAAGCTGGTAGGGTTAACATTAAACAATTGTCAGGACAACAAATTATGCATAAAATAAAACGTGCTGAAGGTAAGATGTTATTTATTGGACAAACAATTTCTTAGGCATTGTAACTCTTTAATCAGGAGTAGAATTGTGAAAAGTTTAAATGCACTGGAGTAAAGAGAAGTCTTTGAAGACTGATAGAATATAAATCGCTCGTTATCGGCGTATAAATGCTCTTCGTGCTCGTTTCACAAAAAATAAAAGGTTTAGACGTGAAAACCCGCTGTGTATAAATAGGCAGACCAGTTTTTATTTTTTTGTTTGAACATGGCGATTGCAAGTTTTGAAATTATGGTCGTGTATGCAAGTTGAATGTCATTTTTCTCAGCAGTGTCCATAATAATTGACAAGTGTATAAATAGCAAAATTAACAGTTTCTTCACAAGACTTGTTACATATGTTATTGGGAGTACATGTAATATGTCAGGTAATTCGAAAACTTAAATAATAAATCCTTTCGATGCCAGGACTTTTTAAAATTAAATAGTTTCATTACTTGTGCAACACAGTTATTAATGACACAACTGACATTGAAATGTAGCATTCCTTGTTTAAATTAGACGATGGCCTCAGACTTATAGCGAGCGAAAGATTGTGAGCTCCCTTCGCTGGAACGCCTTAAATATAAATGGCCCACTGGCGTTATACTGTGGCCAGGTTGTGAACAAAATAGCAGTACTTTACACAGTCTGCAATAAAAAATCTGAACTGTACCCTGTTCCAGAAAACGGCGGAGAAAATTCAATACTTTTTTTAGGAAATGATTGTCACATATTCTCTATAATAAAGTTTAAATATGGTGTTTAGTGTTAGTCTCATCGAGCCTCAATTGTGTTGGGTGATATTTCCATGGTCCGCGCCACCTTACATGCTAGACTGAAATATTTCGACAATTGAGTGTCTGACGTTCTAAATTCTTAGAATTTCATATTTTTAGCTACAGCAACTAAGTTTTCAGGTGTGTGTGTGCAAGTTTTTTTATATGCAGTAAGAGACTGGCCGGTTTTTGTACACATATTTGAAACCTATTTCTTTAGCGTGGTTCGAGTTAATTAGACTTCAGCTGGGTAAACCGTTTGAAGAAAAAATCGAATTAAAAATTGGGCTAAGTTCAAATGCACTGGAGTAAAGAGAAGTCTTTGAAGACTGATAGAATATAAATCTCTTGTTAAGAGAAGTAAAAAAATATTTTTCTCGTTAGGTAAAACCATTTTTCTGTTTGGTTCGATGAAGCTAATGAAAGTTCATTAAGCGTACCAAAAATTTGATGGCTTTATCTTACTTTAATTCTAATTTGGCAAATGAATATTATACTAAGGTTACTCGTCGATGAATCGGGTAAATAACTGTAATTTATTTTTTCGAGGCACTCGTAAGGTTAAAAAGCCAAAATTGATCTACACATTAATAAAAATTAAAAAAGCTTAATCATGAGTATGTTCAACGTATTACTCATAGATTTCACTGAGCACAGCTGCTCGGGTGGTAGCGTGCCTGACTGGAGAAGAGCGACCGCCCGCCGCGGTATTTAATTTCTTCGTAGTTTTAACCTCTGATTCTCTGTAGTTTGGGCTAACATTTTTATGATTGTAGTGCGAGGAAAATACGTTTTTCCAGTAAAATGTCCTGCTTAAAACCCGGTCACTGTAACGTCATTCGAGCCATTCATTTTTGCAGTTTTTTTAACAGTGATCAAAAACGTGGTAACGGTTAGGCAGGGGGATGAAAAAAGGTCAAGGCTAACAGCACAAGCTATTTTACTTAACGCCATCACCACCACAATATTCGTTGATGACGTACCAACTTTTTTGCACAACTCAGAAAAATCTTCAGGCTGAAAATAAATTGAGATTAGTTTTCCAAGAATGATAGCAGTTTATATATGTGAATTAAGTCCTCATTACATAGACGTGACTCTTCTGTTCAAGTGGTGGTTATTATATGTATATGTAGTGATTGACGTGAATGGTTTAGGATCCATTTTGAAATCCACCTGTGACCTTCAAATTAGTGGGAATAAAGCTCAGTGAGCCAATTGTTCTATAAAGGGGGTTGGTTGAGTGCAAATAGAGAGCAAATTTTATTTATTTGTGCAGGTTTGGGGTAAAAGAAAAGTAAACATTCAGAGTTTCGAGCCATGAGATTAACTTATCTGCAGCTGAATCGAATTTCTTTAATTGTAGCTCAACCGCTTAAGCTGCAACTCTCTGCCGCGACATCGAACGTGTTCGTCCACAATATAATGTTAATTAGTAAGATTATTTCATCTTTAGAAATCTAATCATCGAATACGCTTGTCACACTCACATACTTGTTTTTAAGAATTAATTAGCCCTGAAACGTCGATGAAAGATGGTTTACATGCAATTTTAAGAGTCACTGATATCTTTTATGTGCTGAATAAACATATTCAATAAATAAAGGAGTTCTATCATATCCTTATGTCTACAAATTCGGATAAGACTTACTAGCCACAGGCAGAGGTCACCGGCCATTACACGAGTTGCAGTTTCTTACGAACGAGATTTTCGTATCAACGTTTTGCCTTCCTTCAGGTTAAAGTTGAATTTTAATACGTTTTTTATTAAGATTTCTTATATTATTGATATCACTTATATTATTATAAAGGATATTATGAGAGAGATTATTTATACTATACCTAATGCTATCAAAATGCTTGATCAATTTTAATATTATTGCTTTTAATAATGCCATATTCAGAGCTCAGAATTTTGAGATCTTTTAATTATCCTGAGACTTTATATTGAAAATCGAAGAACCCTTCATCTTAGAAGACTTACTCACTGCAGGTGAATGCTGAGCTTGGTTGGTGGTATCCAAACTGATATAGTTTGTAGTTACTCATAAGCTCACCACTGGTTTAGTATTCATGGTGAAACTCACCACAGTGAGATTATTTCAAGAAAAAATTACCCTAATTGAGACATTTATTTAAATTTGAACTTACTTTGGAAGTTTTTAACTTCCATACTTGAATGTACCAAACTTGAACTAACTTGCTTCTGTAGAACTCTCAACGGTGGAGTTATACACAATTGAAGTAACCGCAGACCCGTGTACAATTAGAAATGGCACGGATTAGCCGTTAACTGCTTATATAATTAGAAAAAAACTCAATTTAATTCGTCATGAAACAGTTATTCACAATTGAATTAAGCTCGAAACAGCTGAACTGAATGCATCACGAAACAGTACTTTACCATAAAAAGCAACACGAAACATTAATTCTGAGATAAATAGGCAGCGCAAAGATTATTCACCATTAAATTCACCACGAACCAAAAGACTATTCTTCAAATTAATCCCGAATTTTCGCCCTCAAATTGACCTGTGAAATGATGATTACTTTTTTAGGCATTGCAAGCCCATGCTTTTCCCAACTCCGCCATCTAACTCGGTTCATCGTTATAACTTTTTTATTGCAGTTACAGCTCAAAGTCCCATGCGCGGGAATATTTTAATCTTCGTAATTCTTTAAATTGCGTTTTGCGTTCCGGCCGAACTTTGCTGACAGGAGTCCGTCAGTTGATGGAGCCTCCGCAGTCGACCTCGTGCATTTAACAGCCGGAAAATCGCTTGCCTCGTTAAACAAACGTCAGAAAAACGTCAAACGAATTTTTGTAATTCACTTATATGTTTTCTGAATCTTCACAGAAGTCATC